ACCATTTCAAAACAACACTGTGAACTGTGTAATAAAAGTTACCCTATATATGATACAATGCATTTATTTATTTATTTATTATTAAACATAAATCCGATACGTATATATGACATGATATACATATATATGAAAATATAAGTAAATAAATAAATATATTTGGTTAATTCCACTGAAAGTATATTATAAATATTAAATGAGAATATAAAAAGAATAAATATTAATTACGGAACTATTAAGAGAATAATCAATGAATGTAACAATAAAGGTCTTGTACCTTGTTCAATTTGTTAAAAATAAATTGAAAAAATATCATAAATAAGCTAGTAAGTGTTTTACCTATCAAAGCTCCTTCAAATACCAAAGTAGAAACGTAGAAAATATAAACTTTTGGTTTAAGCTAAAAGTGATTGCAGTATTAATATTAAAAACACCGCGCTTAAAAAATACATTATTTTAATATGAGGTACAATTAAAAAATACAATACTGTTCATACATAATTTGTTCTTAATTATTGCAAACTATTTACAATATATCATTTTCGTCTACTTCTTAAATTGCGAGTCTGTAATGATGGCGTGATCGCTATTGTACTCTAAACAAACAATACACAAAATAAATAGATACATTCGATAGATTATAGAAAAATTTTAAAAATTTACCTCAAGTGGTTCGATATCTTGGAAAGACTCATCTTCTGTAATGTACAATTTTTTTCTACGGGTATTTTTTTTCTTCTCCGAAAGTTCCCGAGATGGTAATGGTAAGTTATTACGTTTTGCACTTCGTTTTGTACTTCTAAAATATAAAAATAGCATGCTTCAGTATCAACTTTTAACTTTTAAATATATATTATAATTTTATGTATATATATATTATAATTTTATCTCATTTTCATGTAATTTACTTCGAATCAGAACCAGAAAGATCAATCACTGAAACTTCATCCTGTTTTGGAGACGATGCAAACTTCTTTGGCGGACGTCTCAATCGGCGTTCCTTAATGACTTCGTCTTCAGACGTATTTCCACAATAGTCTTTTTCTTTCGAACAATTCTTTGTTAACTGCAAAGAAACAAAAGTTATTAAACAAGATTCGTTGTATTACATTAAATTCTATAAAAACGATACCTTTTGCTTTTGCTTTTCCAACTCTTCTTGTTGACTTTTTACTAAGCTTTCATATTTTGCCACCATCTCGTCTCTGTTCTTCATAAATGCTTCCATTTCACGCTCTTTCTCAATTAGACTATTCTTCAATTCTTCATTCATATTTTTTAACCTTTCGTTCTCTGTCTTTTTTTCTTGAGCACAAAGATCCAATATTTTGGCATTTTGTTCGTTGTGTTTAATGCGCATTTCTAATTGTTCAATATACTCTTCTTTTCGTGAAAGCATTTCTTTTGTCTCAGTTAAATTCTTAATTGTATTCTTCATTTCTAGTTCCATTAATTTATCACTTCTGTCGTCGCTTTCTTCGTTTTTTTGTATCATACATTTCATTTCTGTAAATGAACCCATATATTATGATTTTGAAAATAATATTGCTTACTGTAATAAGATATTGTATGAAATTATCAGGTATTAAACTAACCTTTTTGAAGAGAAATTATTTCAGAATCTTTTTCTTGCTCTTTTTCCTCCGCTTGTTCCAAACGATCTTCTAAATCTAGAAGCCTGTCATTATTTTCATCCAATAATTTTTGTAGTTGATCTTTCTCGCTTTGACACATTTCTAAACTCTTATTTAATTCATGAATCTTCTCCTGAAGCTCAGTTATATTTTCCAGATTATGTTCTATCTGCTGTAATTTGGCAACCTGAACATCCAAACACTAGAATTTTATTCAAAACAATTATTAAATTTTACTGAAGAAAGCATACCTATATATGAATTTATTTAAGTACCTGCGATTTGATATTATTCTTTTCTATTGTAGATGATAATTCTTTTTCTAAGTTATTTATCGCTTCTTCATGTTCAGTTTTGCACTAAAATAACAAACAGATTAAATTTATGAAAAGGAGAGTGATATTATGTACACATACCTTCGAAATATGACTATCAAAATCTGTTTGCAGCGTGTTCAATTTCTGTAAAAGTAATATAATTTTTTTTTTT